AGATGTCACCAGGCCCGTGGCCAGGGAGAGGCGTGGGAGCGGATGAGGACGGGTGTGGAGCATTCCCGGTGCCGGCTGGCTGTTGTGTTATGCAAATGTTTTCCTTTGGAAAGAAAACCATCCCAAAAAACTTTTTCTTTTTTTTTTTTTTGCTTAGGTCTTTCTGCCAAATTTCAACATCCTAAGTTTACATCCCTATTAGAACCTCAGTTCTGACCGCAGCCTTGGCCTCTGCCTGAGACCCCCACAGAGCCCTCGTTCCTAATAAGGCTGAGAAAGTTCTGTGTCTGCTGGTGCTCCTTTGTACATTTGAGATGTAATCAGAAATGCTCCTTGGACTCAGTCCTCCCTGTCCCCTCGGCCGCGGCCGCCCTTCCTGTCCATGGGCCTTTGAGTCACCTCTCGCTTGCGTGAAGGGATTAATTTGAGTTTTCTTTCCAGAGAAGGATGTGCGTAGAGCAGCATGCACACTGCCACATCCCTGAGCCTGTTTTCTTCTGCTGCCTGGAGACCTACACCATGGCGGCCCCCAGGACAGCGTGGCAGCCCAAAGGGACCCCGCTGGGGGCAAGGCCGGTAGGCAGGAGAGACTCTGGCATGGCTAGAGTGATTTCGCACCCTCTGAGCACCCTGTGTGCTTGCATGGGTCCCACCAGCACGGGACCAGCTTTGCTTGGACCCCAACCCAGCCCTGTGTCAAACGATTTAAATGCACTCTCCGTTGAGAAAGTTGCAGCCATGGTGGTCTCTGTTTTGCCTTCTGTGTCATTTTCTCTCCTGATCTTTGCCTCACTCCGCCTGATGCTTCCGGGCAGCCGCTCACAGGTGTGTGTGGCCCCAGTGTCCGGCCTTACCAAGCCGGTGCTCTCCACACCAGAGCTCCCTACGTCGCCCCTGGGTCTCCCACACTCTCCTCCGCCTCTGTTCTTCCTCAGTAGACTCCTCCACCCGCCGACTTCTGCTGCCTCCATGCCATTGCATCTACCTCACGACTGTAAGTTCCTTTCTTTAATCATTCCTGACATTTTGCCAAGAGAAGATAGCCTGCATTTCGTACTTGTTCCTTCAGAAATTGCTGGTTGTAAGTTATACTGTTTATGGAACTCTGTGTCTTATGGAAAAGGACACTCTCATGATTCCATGCTGCTTTTATTTTCCTTTTAGTTTCTCTGAAGTTCTGTACAGCCTGGGATTTCCCTGGCCAAGAAAGTGGGCTTCCAGAGCCGGCTCCTCTTCACTCTGCAGTGGTTAAATCCCTGCCTGTCCTGCTCAGATGGTGTCTGCCATTGGGTTTTGCAGCTGCCCGGGGTGGGGCTGGGAGCCGGGGTGGAGGGAGTGACTGGGAAAATCCGCGGGGGAACTTGGTGGTGTTTTCCCTGTGGAATGAAGCCCCCACTCAGACCAAGCTCTGTACCCGCCCCTTTCTCCACCCACCGCCTCGGGCACAGGCCCTTCTGAACCTTGGCCTGGCTTCAAGGCTGTGTGCCCACAGATCCAGCCCCGCCCCCAGACACTGTCTCTGAGTAGCTCAAGAGATTCCTGGCCGCCCTAGGAGAGGCCACCTGGTCTGTGCTGCCCCTGGCCCCCGTCACCCAGCTGCTACCCGTGTCCTGTGGCTGAGGGGTCCCGGCCTGGCCCTTTCCCTCGGTGGCCACAATTACCTAGCTCTGAAGCAGTGTCACAAACGAGCACCCGCCCTCAGGGCACTGCATGTGAGCACCCCGGGGTGGGTGGGGCTCGCTCCTGCACCCGGGGGTGCGTCTGTCTGGTACAGTGGGTCCTGGCCCTCGTCGTGCTCTCCACTGCCCAGGGGCCCCTCAGAATTGGCCCCCTGTTCCCCCTTCCCTCTGGCCTTCCTCTCTCTCTGCTCCCATTTGTTTTTTGAGACAGGGTCTCGTTATGTATTTCAGGCTGGCCTTGAACTCTCTATGGAAGCCAGGCTGGCCTCAAGCTCTCAGAGATCCTCCTGCCTCAGCCTCCTGAGACTGGGATAACAGGTGTTAAGTGGCCAGCTGGCTGTGGGGGAGTCCGCTGAGATATTCTTACCAGAGAGGAGGACAGAAGACTCACCCTGGGTGAGGACCTTCCCAGCACACGGTCCTGCCCATTCTCACTGTGCCCCCTTTTCCTCCTAAAAAAAGCTCATTGTAGCTGGGCGTGGCGGCACAGCCTGTAACCCCAGCATTGTGGAGGCTGAGGGAGGAGGAGCGCAAGTTTGAGCCCAGCCTGGGCAATTTAGGGACTGGGTCAGACGCCATCACAAAACAACGCAACACTGCACCATAGCTCTTGGTGCCCTGAGACACCTCCCTGCCCAGTGACAGAGAGCTAAGATGGAGTCTCCTTCCCTCTTCAGGAAGCTCAGGAGCAGCTGCCCCCACGCAGGCAGCGTGCACACTTGGCGTCTGTCCCAGCCTGGCCTGGAGGAGCTGCACTCCCAGGGGCCGCAGCAGCACGCGGGAGCTGGGTCAGCCATGCGGCTGGCTGTTGCCGGCTGTCCCCTGCCTCAGTTTCCCTTCCATGGGGTGGTAGTGAGTGAGGATTTTGATGCGCTGGTGGAAGCTTTTGGCTCGTATTTTACTTAGCATGTCTGCAACCTTGGGCATCGTCAGTTTCCATCTCTGCCGCAGGTACCAGAGGTGATCCGTGCGCGGAGAGAAGGTTTGCCCCAGTTCAGTTTTACAGGCGGAAGTGCGTGCCTGGCCGGCTGTGTTTCAGGCAGCATCAAGGCAGAACGTTGTGGCTGAGGCGCGTGGCACCCCGGTGAGCTCCACGAGGCTGTGGCACGCCGTGGGGCCGGTTGGTTCCCAGACGTGTGCTTCATGGGGCTCACCTAGCTTCCCTGGTTAATGAGGATTCACTCTCCACAGATCTACAAACGGTCATCAAACCCTCATCATTTCAGCAGCTTCTGTGAGAGCCCGTCCTAGCCCTGCCATGAATTCAGTGAACACAAACGGACGGGGGTGCACATCGAGAATCCCAGCAACTGCGGGGCTGAGGCAGGAAGATCGCCACAAGTTGGAGGCCAGCTTGGCCTCAAACCGCCTCAAAGCCCTATCTCAAAAACAAAAATCAGTGCACGCGCAGCTCTCCGGGAGCCCCAGGGAGCTCACACTCCTGAGCGCTCAGTTTCTTTCTCTATTTTTGCCACATAGAGATGACAGTTCGTTGTTTCACCTTGACACAGAAGAGAAACAATGTAAAGAGAGTGCTATTATCACGCGACTTCCTTCCCCAGCACCGCTACTCCGTCATCCCTTCGACACCGGCTTCCTGGGGTGGACCACTGACTATAAATTTTATTTGGCTGCCATTTCTCTTGTGACTGAAACCTTAGCCCTTGATCAAGATTTCAGATTATCCTAATGAAGGCGTTTCCTTAGTTTAAAAAAATACTGCCTGTAATCCCAGCACTTGGGAGACCGAGGCAGGAAGATCCCTATGAGTTCAGGGCCAGCCTGAATTGGATAGTGAGACCCTGTCTGAAAAAGACCAAAAAAAAACCCAAAAAGAACAAAAACCCCGAAGATTTAAAAATCCTTTATTGAACATTTCCTAAATATCTGGACTCTTTGAGACTAATGAAAAGTCCAGTTTTTATCAGCAGTAACTTAATCTTGCAGGTAGACAAAGACGGGTCTCTTCTTTTGGTCTAATTTACCCTAACAGCAGAGAGGGCGGGGCTGATGGAGCAGGCCGGCTGTCTGGGCTGGTGACCCAGGAAGAGAGGCAGTGCCTGCCTTAGTGCTCTCCGTGGACTCAGGCTCGTCAGGTTGCCCGGGCTGTAATGATCTATATTTAACTGCAAGTTTAATGAACTACTTAGGCTCACTTTAAAATGTCACTGATTTTGTTTGCATAGCCACCCTCGGCTGTGCGCTCCTATTTTTAGGACCCGGCTTCTCTGCACACTCAGTTCCTCTACAGCGCGGCAGGGCTGGGGCAGCGCCCCGACTCTCCCGAGCAGCGGCGAGCGGGGCCTGAGCCGGGGCTCCGCCTGCCCCGCCCAGCACTCCTCAAGAGCGCAGCCGGTGCTCCTACACCCCCGAGGGAACCCGGCGCCTCTGGGTAGCTTCTGCATGCTTGTCCCGGTGCTGCCAACCTCTTGATTTGGATGGATTTTAACCCAGAATGACTCTCACTAGAACACATCAAAGGGCGTGGAAGCGCATGGCCAGCTCAGGCCGCTGCAGGAGGGCAGGTGCCCAGGGAGACGCGGGGGCCGGCTGGGGCGGTGAGGAGCATCCCGTCGCAGTGGCGGTGGTCCCCACGGCGGAGGAGGCCCGTGGGAGGGACCGCAGCTGCACAGTCCGGGCTGGCGCGTCGGCCCGGGTGAGGTGGGGAGCAGCTCCTAAGAGCGGCCAGTGGTTCGATTCCTTAGAAATCAGAAAAGTATGCACTATTATTTATTTGGCAAAATAATCTATTACTGTTAACAAGAGAGGAACGACACTTAAAATAAATCCTGCAGCGGCCTGAGCTGGCCATGCGCTTCCACGCCCTTTGATGTGTTCTAGTGAGAGTCATTCTGGGTTAAAATCCATCCAAATCAAGAGTATTGGGAACTGAGGACCCTGTGTGCCAAAGAGGCAGAAGCAGACCGTTCACAGGATCCTTCTGGAAACGCAGCTGTGGGGAGCCAGCTGGGCCCACACGGCGGTTAATACGGGGCCGCTTGGGACAGACGGGGCAGCCCCCTCGCGCCCCTCCAAGACACGCGTGTGACGTCCAGCCCCCCTCAGGCACAGCAGCAGAAGCACACGCGTCCTGAGCAGAGGCCCTGTGGCTGTCACTTAAACTCAACTCCCAGCATTCAAATTTATTTTTACAATTGTTAGCTAAATATTTTAATGTTTACTTATTTAATTTTTTGAGATAGGGTCTCGCTGTGTAACCCAGGCTGGCCTCAAACTGGTAGTGATCCTCCTGCCTCAGCCTCGAGAGTGCTGGGATTACAGGCGTGCGCCACCACGCCCGGCCCAGTTTATTATTTTAGGAGCATTTTAAGCTTCCAGCATGATTGCTCCCTCCGTCTTCCAGCTCAGGGCTTCCAAGGCCTCCGGGACTTACTCACACACAAACTCAGGTCCACACACATCCTCACCCAGAGACGTGAGGCAGCGGCGGTGTGCGGCAGTTCTTCCACGTCTGACCTGGAGCACATCTTGCCTCAGAGCGTGTCTGGGCCACTCTCCGCGGTGCTCAGCAACTCGGCTGGGAGGAGTGGAGACCTTGGGTCAGACTCCAACCTGAGCTGTTTGGGGTGAGGCCTCCTGGCGGCTTCGGGGCTGCCGTGCACCCCGCGTCCTCAGCATGGATGTCATCCCCGTTGGTCCCCTCATGCTCATTGCCGCTGTGGGGAGGAGGTGGCCCGAGGCCGGTGGCACCGCTCAGGACCCCGCCCCTGAAAGCTGCTCTCCCCTCGGGACGAGGTTGGCTGTTTGCAGTTGTCCTCTGCCTTCCCGCAAGACTCTCCCCAACAAACGTCCGCGCCCTAAGGCTGCGGGCACGGCTGAGGCCACGCGTCGTTCCCGCCTGGTGCTGCGCGGGGCGCAGTGAGCCTCTTCCCGGTGGGAACAAGCTCGTGCAGGCCAGGCGTCGCTGCGCTGTGCGGGTCGCCTGCCTCCTCCAGAACTGGGCTCTCGCTCTCTGATCATTTAGCATTCTTGGCAGACATTTTTAAAATTAAATTCCCTGCAGTGTTTTAAGTCCCCTTCCAATTTCTTTTCATGCATTTCTCTTACCTGACAAGAAGCCTGAACAAAACGAATCACCCGAGCATCTCACTTAAATTGCTGTTACCCGAAGGGATTAACCCGCTACCAGACCAAGCTCAGGCCAGCCTTAAACCGCCTCCCACAGCCGAGCTTAAAATCACGACTGCAGGAGAAACGACAGGTACTTCCTAAACCCCACTTTAAAAACAATGAGTCCAGAAGGGAGGCCTAGGAAACTTTGTTTCTGTGCTGTGTGGTTCAACGTTAACTTTGATACGTCCATAAAGGGTTTCACACTTTTACTGTGAAAATAAGCATGCTGCTCTGTTTAAACTATTTTAATTGGTTAACATATACTTCACGTGAAAGTTACTATTTTGGTGAATTTATTTATTCATCATTTTTTGTCGTCCAAGGCGGCCTCTTTTTTTTTTTTTTTTTTTTGTCTTTTTGAGACAGGGCCTCCCTGTGCAGTTCAGGCTGGCCTTGAGCTCACTTTGTAGCCTAGGCTGGCCTCGAATTCGAAATGATCCTCCTGCTTCAGCCTCCCAAGTGCTGGGATTACAGGCGTGTGTCACTGTGCTGGGCTCCATTTTGGCCATTTTCAAGGGCACCACTGAGTGGTATCAAATACACTCAAGCTGCTGTGCAGCCACTTCGCCCGTACCCCTAACACCCTTTGTGTTTTGGGGTCAGGCTCCCTCCCTCTGCCCTTCGCCCCTGTGCAGTCTGGATGACACAGTGTGGGCGTAGGTCCCACACCGTGTTCCCCACGTCCCTCCCGGGCACAGGCCCCTCCTCCCACCCCTGCCGCTGACCTGCTGCACGATTCTTCGGGGTGTGGACTCAGAGGTGGAGGTGCTGAGTCACACTCAACTCCGGTTTTAATGTTTTAAGGAAAATTGTGCCGCTTTGACGGCCGTGTCACACCTCAGGGCGGCTGTGCCGGGCAGGCCCCCATCCCCACACCTCCCTTCGGGGATGTGCCGAGGCCGGCGCTGTTGGGCGTGGCTTCTGTTTCCCTCCTGGCTGGCGACTCAGAGTCTCTGCCCACGCGTGACTCGGCCATGTGCTTGTCTCCTCTGGAGAAATGTTTGCTTCGCGCGTGAACTGCATCAGCGGGGGCTTTCGAGTCACTCTCCCCCGCCGTGGGCTGCCTTTTCACCCTGTTGATGGTGTCCTGCAACAAACAAATTTAATTTTAATGTAGCCTGACTTACGTATCTGTTCTCATTTTGTTGCTGTGCTTTGGAATTGATCCAGGCAGTGACTGCCGCACCTGCCACCGTGAAGCTTTGGGTCCACTCTCCCAGCCTCCCCTTCCCATCCGGGAATCTGGCATTTCCGCTGTGCGTCTGGGTCTTTGATTCCCTGGAGCATCGTTTTCCTGTGTGGTGTGAGGAAGGGAGCTCGTTTTCCTGTGTGGTGTGAGGTATGGATCCCTCTGCTCCCTCTGCTGTGTGCATATGTGGCAGGGCTTCCAAGCAGAAGAGTTAACCATGCTTTTCCCCTGGATATTTTTGTTTTTGTTGTGTTCTGCATCAGACTGAAACTTCTGGCAGAGTGTGGACAGGGATCCAATGCCACACTAATCAAGTCCATTTGTTCAAGCTCCTCTTGGACTTGCAAGTTGCCTGGCTTCCAGCCCCTCCTTGGACGCTGGCCATAAACCATGCAAAGCCACAGCAGATGGAAGTTATCTCCCTACTCCCAGGGCGCTTAATAAAGATTAGAAAAACGGGATAGCATGAGCTCTGGCTTTGCCATCTTTCCTGGATTCCGTTCATTCTCTGAAGTCCTGAGTGGCCCACTGGTCCCTTCTGCCTGACTTCCCACTACTCTTCCTGCTCATGGCGCCAGCGGCAGCACTGTCCAAGTGTCCAGCTTTTTCGTGGTAGCCTTGGGTCTACACTGTCAGCTGGACACAGGTCTCTGCAGTCACAGCCTGGTTGGGGGGGTCTGGTGTGCACTCGTGTCTCCCAGCCTCCCTACGTCAGGCTCATTTCGGGTGTGAGCGCAGACTGGGGCACACAGGAGCGGTGAGGCCTGTGCCCTAGGCCTGCCAATTTGCCCCTTGGCCCCTCTGGTTGGGAGGCTCTAGGCATGTAGCGGGGGAGCCTGGCCCCTTGGGGTGCGCACAGCTGCACTGTGGCCCTCAGGCTGGCTTGATTTCTGTTGCCTGACGCTTCCCTGGGGTGGGAGTCGGCCCCAGGCCCCATACAATGAGCAGCGGCAGCCTCCCCCTTGATTGGCCGTGCCCGGTCCTGTACCCACTCCCAGAGCCCCGGGCACTCCCAGCTCACCCTGGATGCAGTTGGGGTGCTGAGGCCAACCAGAGCACCTGGGGGTGCCCCCTCCTTTGCCCAGTCCTTCACCAGTTTCCCGTCCTGCAAACCCTTGTTTGCACCTCTGCATGAACCCTAGATCCCCATGCACCGAACAACTGGATGTAAACAAACACCCAGATTGAAGGCTATGTGTGCAGAACCACAGCGAGGGAATGGGGGCCCCTCCCCGCATGGGCAGAGACTGCAGCCACCCGGGAAGAGGCTGCAGGGTGGAGGCAGGGCCAGGGGAGCCCGCAGAGGTTGCAGGCAGGAGCCGAGGCTGCGCCTGAGGACAGGACATGTGTGATTTGAGGAATGTGTTTGGCTTCCTAGGTTGGTCTTAACATAGAGGTCAGGCAACAACTAAGGGAACTTACTCACTGTTTTCATGTATTGTTTTATTCACCAGCCCCAGCTACTGGGGCTGCCTGGGAGTCTGTCTTCCTGGATGATAAGCACAGGGTTCCTGCAGCCTGACTCACAGAAAGCTTCCTGGGCAGGTGGCAGGGAGGAGGGCTTGCTGCTCTGGCCCGGGCCATGCTGGGAGACGGCTCGGCTTCCTAGGTAGGCTGTACGGTGGCGTCAGGGCACTTTTTTTTGTTCCAGTTTTTGGAGACAGGGTCTCGCTATGTAGTTCAGGCTGGCCTCGAACTCACAATGTAGCCCAGGTTGGCCTTGTTCTTGTGGCAGTCCTCCTGTCTCCTATCTCAGCCTCCTCAGTGCTGGGATTACAGGTGTGCACCGCCACGCCCAGCTTGGGGCTCCATTTTTATCTATGGCCTGGCCATGGCCATTCTGATGTCCAGGGTCTCACAGTTGAAAATTCTCACCCTCAGCATAGCGTGTAACAAACAGCGTGGCGCCTGATGCATGGTGAAAGACTGAACAGAGCTTCCAGCTGCCTGCAAACGGCCCGGTGTGTCCACACCTCCCGCGAGTCAGTTACAAATATGCGCACAAACCCCAGGCTGTGGAGCTCGTGCCCGTCCTCTCCTGAGCTCCCGCCTCCGTTCTCATCCTCTCTCAGAGCACTTTCTCCTAATAGAGTTGAACTTTTAAATATCTTTTCTTGATCATCTCCTGGTGTTCTGTAGGAAAACACGCATGCCCAGGCGAGCATGGCGGACAGCAGCGGCAGGAGGCGGCGGAAGGGACCTGGCTCAGCCGTAGTCACTGTGATAGCGAGGCTCTGCCTTGTGAGCACTGTGAGCACCATGCGTTTGATGAGGAGGACCAACGCATCGCGAGCACCAGATCAGCAGTCGAAGAGCCCAGCAGCAGCAGCAGCAGCAGCATCGCCCAGCGAGGTGTGTGGCGCCCGCTTTTGCTCCTGATTTGAAGGTGAAGCCCCCAGCTCAGCGCACCGCGGGTCTCGCCTTCCTTCGTAAGTGGAAATGAAAGGAGCCTGCAGCAGCAAGACGTCAAAAATAAGAAACTCTCCTGCGCTCCTGCCTCTCGGAGTCCCAAGCCCACACGGCCTCCGGGCTGGGCACACCGCAGCTCGTCCTCAGCTCGCAGGCTGAAGTTCCCACAAAAGGATTCTTTCAGCATCTGCCCGATTGCGAAAGGGCCGTGCTGGCTCTGGGAAGCGAACCAGAAGGCGCGCCGAGGCCTGCGGAGCTGCAGCAGCCGGCTCTCCCCACGCCCGCCCAGCTGGGAAGCTGGAAATGATCGCTCGCCCCGCAGCGTCGTTCTCTGCCCGGCATCTGATAAAATGCCTGTCCCATACCGTGGGCCCCCAGCATGTTTTTGTCAAGAATGTGGGGCTGAGGGAATGGTGCAAAACCTCACTGTGCTGCCTCGGTAATCACACGGGGCGGTGTCCATGTGAGAGCTCGGGGGTCAATTCCGAGTGGGACCCGGCCTCGTGCGTGAATGCTGCGGCTCACGTGTGTGCGCGAGACCCGGGGTATGACCGCACCACCGTCCCTTACACTGGTCAGCTGTTTGTGAAAGGAAGGCCTGGGGTTCCATGGTGAGCGAGTGTGCGGCATGTGAGGGGTGGCAGTGCACACACTTCATAAGTGTGTGTGTGTGTGTGTGTAGTGTTGGGAACTCTGGTGTTCAGCTCTGAGACAGCAGCCAAGGTCAAGCACAACGCAGCGGACTCCGCCTCCTGGGAGGCTAGCTCTGCCTAGGCATCAGGGTTTTGGTGTTTGGTGCAACTGATTTAAACGCAAGGCCAGACACTGCCCCATGTACTGGGATACATCTTCTTCCTGTGGTGACTTAGCAGGTCTTCAAGCCAATGTAATGTTGATAAATACTTGGTCACTTGGTACAGGCCGCATGATGCCTCGAGTCTCTCAGCAGGAAAAGCCCGACACAGGAAGTGATGGTGACACCACCCCCTGGGTGCCTGGAGATCGGGCTGGCTGTGAAGGCGAGGGCACCGCCCAGCCGCTCAGTAAGGAAGCACCCGTGTGTTCAGGACTCGGCCCCCCTTCTAGGCAGCAGGAGTGTTGAACCTGTGGCCTGGAACCCCTCAGTTGTTCATTAGGCATCCACCCAGGGACAGAGCCTCTGCCCAGCCTAAGCCCTGAGGGCCCAGGGACTGGCCCCGCCACCCGGCTCCTCACAAGCTCCTCACACACGCATCTCTGGGCAGCAGCCTGGTGCTCCTGCTGAGCCCAGGCCCACACTCTTCGGCACCTTTCCTCTCTGGTCATTTTTCCCTTGGTGTGTTGCAGGAAGCTCTCTCGGCCCCCGAAGCATCACATGCTCACCTTGCTCAGCGTGCAGTTTCTCCTGGCAAGACCCTCGCCTTCCCCTCGCAGCTCCCAGCAGCACCACCAGCACGCTGGGCCGTGGAGACACGGGTGTGGTTTCCTTTGCCGAAGTGCCCATTCCCACGATGTCACCTTGTTTGTAGATTCACGTGTGTGCACGGCCAAGGAGCAGCCTCCAATTTGCTAACGGCCGGAGCACCATGTCAGGCCCCCTCCTCTGTCCCTTGGCGAGTTACTGGAACTGCAAGCTGGCAGCTCTGTCCTGCGGCGCCAGGCACTGGAGCAGAGCCACTCGGCGGCAGCCCACGCAGCTGGCAGGCGATTGCCAGGGGGAGAGGCCGGGCCTCGTGGGAGACACTGCGGCTGCACCCGGCTCGGTTGCTGCAGGGTGAAGGGGAGCGAGCTCGGCTCCCCCACGGCCGGAGGGAGGGCTTCCCTGCGCTTGGGGCCACTCAGCCCGGCCACAGAGGACTCACGCTTGGTGGGGCTGCAGACAGCTGGCCAGTGGCAGTCGCTGAGGGAAGCCGCGGTGGGGCCAGGCAGCAGTGCCACAGGGCTTCAGGACAGGAGGACACGGCCCCTCCCTCCCCGCCTCTGCCCCCTGTCTGGCATGGCAGCACCTGGGTACAGCTGTGTGCTCCATGTGACCAGCACCCTGGGGAGCAGGGGCTTAGCAGCCTTTTTAAAAAAACGTTTTAAATGTCATTAAATAACTGCACTTTGTTTTAATAAAACGTAAGTAAATCTGAAGAGTTTATTAAGGACGCTTTCACCCTCCGACCCTGACACTTGGGGAGGGACCGGAGGCCAGGCCTGCAGACGCCTGCCCCGAGACCAACAGGGCAAAGCTGGGCATCTCAGTCACCAGACGATGTTGGGAGGTCACTGGCTGCAGCGACGTCTGCGGCTGACAGCTGGGCCGGGCTGGGCGTGCGTGGCCCTGGGTTTGGACCGGGTGTCCTTGTGCCACATTCCCGTGGGCTCTGGGGTCCAGCTGTGGCCGCTGCCTGGGTTGGCTCAGTGGGGAGAGGACCCCAGCCCGGGGAGTGGCGGGAGCACCCAGAGCGCGGGTAGGCGGCCAGGCGAGGACGCACCCAGGCGGTGAGCCTTCGGGACGGGCCTCCACCTGCCCCCAGAGCCGGCCTGAGTCCAGAGAAAAGCTCACAGAGGACATGGCGCGGCCCGCAGGGTCGTGCCTAGTCCTCCCGGACGTGCTGACCCTGCCTGGGATGCACAGGCACATCCGGCTCGCACGCTGCTTCTTCGGGCCCCTCCTGTGCCCGTGGCGGCTCCCTTGGGGCCAGGCGGGCTGGGCGGCATGGAGAGCCAGTGGGTGTGAAGAAGGGAGGCTGCTCTCAGCGCCAGGGAAGCAGGCGGGCGTCAGCGGGCACGGCGGGGAGTGGGACCGCCTGGAGGGCGGCCCTGGGGGGATACAGAGCTCTGCCTGCTGCCCTCTCCTGTGTGTTCCTGGAATCCCCTCCTCTGCTCCAGACCGGGGTGCGGGAAAGGAAGCCTCCGCCATGGCCAGAAGTCCAGTCTGTTCGGGGGCAGGGAGGGTGCGCCCAGGGCTGGAGATTGAAGACGCCGCGCCTTTCTCTGTGCAGCGCAGACCTTGATGAAGCAGCATCTGAGAACCGTAAAATCGCTTGGCATCTCTGCCCCCTCTTATACCCGTCTCATTTATTGCCTTTCCCTCTGGGTGGATTCCGGCTGCACTCCACATGCAGGCCTGTTAGTCATGCAAGGAGTGTCCGTCCAGAAACTGGTGATACAAGGTTTATTTGCCGTCAGCTTACCGAACCCAACCCTAACCTTGCAAGATAGGATCCTGAGAAAAAAGTAACTAAAGTAAGGAGGGGGACGTAGCTCAGTGGCACAGCGCCTGCCTGGCAAGCTCAAGATCGTGAGTTCAGTTCCCACTACCAAAAATAAAAACAAAAACTAACTAAGTGATTTCAAGATTGGCATGGACATCCAGTTGCCCTTTACGGTGCCCCGTTCCAGGCTGCCTGCAGCAATACCTAGAAGTCTTGGTTGTCCTAAATCGGCAGTCACCTTGGATGCCAGGAAAAGCAGAGCCTCATCCGCCCCTTGATTCACACACACTCATCCCACTGTCCTGGCCACCTCCTGCAGCAGCTCTGGAGTCCTCTTTCCTGAGTGTCTTTAGCTGCGCTGTCCTGGCTGCCTCAAAATCGATTAAAAACATTTCTGATTCCTGGTCATTTTGACCTTGGAGAAAAGCCAGAAGCCACACAGTGTCAGATCTGGTGAATAAAGTGGATGAGGACACAGCGTCATGTTCTTACGAGCTGCCTTTCTGTTGGATGGCATTGGGCAGCAGCAGTCACTGTATTTTTGATCACATCTCATGAAGACCTCAGGAAAGGAGACTCCAGAGCTGCTGCAGAAAGCGGCCAGGACGGTGGGATGAGGGCGTTCTAGGGAGGAGGAGGAGGACTCCGAGGGGTGCATCTCTTACTGTAGTAAGTGCTTAAACATCCCTACAGATTTCGATCACAGCTTGTAGCCCTTTGGTCTTGAGTACATTCCCACGCCAACAGGAGTCTGCTGCAGGCTGACAGAGAACGCTGCACAGAGCTGAGTCCCAGAGCTCCACGTCCTCGTCACCAGGCCCTGGGAATACGGGACCTCACCCTGCATGAAAGACCTTGTGAGTGCCACCAAGGAGACGGGCCCCGACAATCCAGGGTGCCTGACGTCATCCGTAGGGGGACATCTTGAAAGGCAGGCGGGAGACACAGTCAGGGAAGGCTGTGGGCAGAGAAGCTGAGGTTCAGGGAGCGAGGGAGCGAGGGAGCCGATGCGGGCTATGGCTCTGAGGGAGGGGGGCCCAGCCAGGGGACAGGTGGCTCCTGACCCTGGGAAAGCAGGGAGCGTCTCTCCCGGGCGCCCCCAAAGAAAGCAGCCTTGCTAAACCCTCATCTGTCGCCGCGGAGTTTGGTTTTGGACCTGAGCCCTCTGGAGCTGGAAGATGATCTGTTTGTGTTGCTTGTTCTGCTCAGGGGCCTTGGGGCGCAGCAGCCGCAGCTGGAACCAGCCCAGATTGCCACGAACCCCGGGAGAGCCTGAGCAGGGAGACCTTGGCAAGGTGCTTAGAAAACTAGCACGACAAGCACTTCTTTTCGGAACAGCCAAATGAAAACCAGTAACACAGCAGCGTCCTAACCAACTGCTTGCGGAAAGGATTCCTAGCAGACGTGGTGGCCTTGGCCCACGCCCTGACATCCATGTTTATTTGGCCACTTGACAGAGCAAGAGGGCCGTCTTTGGCCTACAGTGGGGGTGTTTCAACACCGCCTCGCATCCGGGCGGCTGCAGAGTGAGCTCACCCCAGCCGGGCCTGAGACCAGGGGTGCCGGCAGTGGTGGGGTCAGCGTGTTCACCACCTGTATCCACTGCGGCTCTGGGGTCCCCAGAAAAGGAAACCAAAAACGGGGAGGAGAGGGCCCGGGCATCAGGAACACCTGGCACCGTCGCTGTGCCGTGAACCCCAGAAGAAGCGGCGCCCGCCTCCCCCGCCCATCCTGGGCTCCAGACTCTCACAGCTGCGGTCCCATCAGCACCAGGCAAGCAGATGCAGCCCCCTCTCTCCCCTCTGGACTGCAGAATCCCTGGAATGTGGCTCTTCCGCTTAATGTCGCCATCCCAGGCTCTTCTTACAAGAACATGAATTGATCCATGATGGCCCATAAAACAGAGGCCAGAGTCTCCTCCCATGGGCTGCTGGGAAAGGAAATGTTTCCAGAGAGGCCTGGGCAGGACATGGTCCCTCTGAAAGTCCTCCTGTCCCGACAAGGGCCGAGCACAGTCCAGCTAAGCCTAGGGAGGAGCAACCCCTCAGCCAGCCTCAGTTTCCCTGGGAGCCCGTCATGACGTGGCCTCCTCCCTGTCTTTGTCCTCTCCCTTCCTTATAAGCATGCCTGTCCTATCGGAGCAGGGCCCCCAACCCAGAATGGCCTCACCTTAGCCTGATTGTGTCTGCACAGCGCTACTTTGGGATAAAGTCACAGTCACAGGGGCCAGCTTACGACCTCAGCCTATCTTTGGGGGCAACTCCAGCCCAGCTCTGTCTCCTGTCTTATCCCTGGGTCCCTTCTGTGTCCCGTCCTGCCCTGTGGGCAGCTCATGCTCCAGAGGTGCAGAGAGCGCTTTTCTGGCTGCCATCCTCTGCCCAGGAGCAAAGAGCCTGTTCAGCAGGGATCCTGCCTTGGTTTCCTCCTTCGCTGCAGCTCGTCCTCAAGGGGCATCCTAAGGAGGGACACAGTATATATTGTAGTCAGGGTTTGCAAGGGAACAGATTTAATACAGGCCATATAATTTATAGCGTTATTTTATACTATTACCCGAAGAGTCCAATGCAGAGGAGTGCAGGAGACCTGTCCACACACTAGAGACTCAAAAAATCCAGCTGAAGGCCTGGATCTCACTGCTATGCCCTCCACGAATCCAGCTGAAGAGCCTGTGGCAATGTCCTCCACACGTCCAGCTGCAAGCCTAGAGCCCACGACAATGTCTTGTGCAAGTCTGTATCAAGGATCTGCACTGGGAAGGCCCGAAAGGTCCGTGGTGGAAGCTAGAAAGTCTGCACCAGCGGGATGAAGGATCTGTGCCAGCAGCTGAGGGTACTGCACTGGAGCTAGGAAGTGATCCTCAAAGGACGGACCAGAGCTCCCCCAAAGAGAACTGCAGCCAACCTCAGTGACAGCGAGGACCTGAGCTCCTCTGATGGTGAGAACAGCGGAGTTCATGTCAGGAAAACCAGCACAACAAGCTTCTCCAGGAGAATCAGCAGCACCACCTTCCCCTCCAGTTCTCATTTGTGCTGTTGGTAACGGTCCTCAGGTGGGCCTTCCACACCTAGCACCGTGCTGACTCAGTTCAGTCGGGTGCTACAGAGGGGGCAGCGGCCCGACTCAGCCTGCGGCAGCTATGCCACCCATGGTGGGCACCGCGCTGTGGGTGCTGGGCCTGCTGTGCCCTGT